GGGCAGCCTGGAGAGCAAAGCTAGCCCCTCTGCTATTTCAACAAGAACCCTTTCAAGAGGGTCATAAAAATGCAACCGAAATGGCATGCGGTAAAACAGCTTTCTGCACTCAATTCTCCCGCTGCCCAAACCCATCAATCTCTCGATCTCGATGGGGAAAAGGCACATGCTGCCTGGAGATATTGGGCTGGATGTTGAAGAAAAGAAAAAAAAAAGGACAGATTTCAGTTAGAAATGTATAAATACAGGAGAGGGTGATAGCTTCCTAAAAATGCCTTCGCAAACATACTTCAACAGAAAAACAAGTGCCTCAAAAGAGATTTTGAGGACAGATAGCCCCCATAGAGCAGATCAGCAAGGTAACACAAACACACAGCTGTTATTTAAATGCACACCGGTGCTCACCTGCTGCTGAAATGGCTGAGATCTGCAGAGGGGTGGGGGGCCTCTAGAAATATCCCTCTGTCCCAGAGATCAGGCATTACGTGGGATGGAGGCACAGAAGAATCTGCCCCCCACCCCTGCTAAACTCATTAACTCAATACACAAAGTTCCAGGTGTATTGAGTCGTTCGCTAACCTCGACTCTCCTCTGGCCCCTCAGAGGGCTCAGGGTTACCAGCTAAAAGAAAGTCCTTATCCATGCCACATTAGCAACTGTTCCTGTTGTCACCCAGGTCACTCCTGTGAGTGTAAATCACTCCTTTTCAGAAAGTGCCACTTCTACACCTGTTGGCTCTGACATATTTCTGAACATGTCTAACAACCTTGCCTTTTCACTTTCACAAGGGAAAAGAGTGTAAGGGTGCATAAGGTTGAGCAACTGGTTTTTGTTATGATGGTTTTTGTTTTTTAACCAATCTATGAGGATTATGACAATTATATAACTTTTTTTTTTTTTTAAACAAGCAAAACTCATTCAAATTCAGTAACAGATTGCGAACTGCATAACAGTGTGTGTGGTCTTCAGCAGAAGTGGAGCAGACTGACAGGATGTCATAGACGAATGACAGGCTGCATGGATGGTCTATTTTTCAGCCACCAATCTGAACCCCTGCCACTGAACTGCCTGCAAAATGTAATTCTGGCATTCAGACGAACAGGGCTCTAAGCGTGGATTAGCAGCAAACAAGCTATTACCAGCAGCCATGGCCAATCCTGCCAATACAAGACTGCTGACTAAGTTGGCAGAGCCAGTGGTTCACTGGTGCCCAAACTAGAGCAGTAGGCAGAATGCCTTCTTGACTAGGTGGTGTGGATCCTTCTCCCTAGATCTTTCTGTCTGCTACAAAGTGATGTGGGAATGTTAAAGTAAAAAGAACACTTAGGATGTGTGTGGCGGTATTAAAATCCTGTCCACTACGGGATGGACAGAATGGCCGATTACATGGATATTAACAAAATGCTAATATTTTATTGAAATAAAATAAAATAAATAAAAACAAGATTAAGATAAATTAAGTCATGAGAGAGAATGGGCAGTGTCTAAATATGCTGCTAAAAATCTGATATTTGGAGTGTTACACTGCAAACAAATCAATTCAAGGTTGAATAAGAGCAGTTCATTGAAATGGAGGTTGAAGAATCACTCCACTAAAAAAAGAGTTCATAAAACTGTCCGCATGACAGCAACAATGAAAACAACATACAGTAGAGGATTCATATATCTTAAGTACATTTCATAAAAAGGCCTTAATTGCTAGTGAAACTAAGACAAGGTCACCTTGAATCTTTATAATGGACACTTTTCCTCTTGTCCCGTTTATTTTTCTTTCTTTATATTTAGATTTTTTTTTCCTCTCTAGGCATTATAAACAATGAAAAAGCACCATCTGAGAGATCTCTATAAATAATGTTTTACAATACCAATTACAGAAATTCCTAAGACCTCTGTGGATGAGGAGGTTCATGTGGCGCTTTTACAGCGAAGGTGACTATTCAGCTTAATGCAGTCCTCTAGGCAGGATATTTTCATTCATTAGAGCGGTCACAAGCACTTAAGGCACTTTAAGTATTGTTAGTGAGAGGAGAGATGGAGATGACAGTCCAGTTTCACTGACTTGCGGTATGGTTCTAATAGGTCTGATTGAATTTGAGAGCGGTTGACTTTTAGGGCCCTGGTGCACATTCACTTAAGTGTGGGTAAAGACGGGTATGAAGTACAGTGTGCGTCTATACGAAAGGCAACCTATAAGGTATGTCTGAATCTACGTCTCCTTGACTTAAATCCACCCAAAAATGAAAATCCTGTAATCACTTACTCACCCACAAGTTGCTGCAAACCTGTATGAGTTTCTTTCTTCTGCTGAACACACTTGAGAGTGAGTAAATGAATTTTCATTTTTGGGTGGAGTATCCCTTTAAAGGGGTCATAAAATGGTACACACACTTTTACAAGTTGACTGTACTGAAATGTGTGTTGGCAGTGCCTGCACACAACCATCATATAATGATAAAAATCCATCCAGTGTTTTTTTTAAAATCTCCTTATATGTGTTCCCGTCTCAAATCGAGCCGTCTGATCGTGTGAAGTCATGATCGAGCAGTCATCATAGTCTGTCATTGTTGAAGACGCAGTGGCTTTGACATTACTTATTAACTTTTATTACTTGATATTTATAATCTATGGTTTTATTTTGAAAAAAACAAACAAAAACAAAGCGTTTTATCGTTTCCTGTAGCACATATTCGTTGTGAGATTAAAACCTACCCACTACTACTATGCAAAAGGCACTACATCAATGGGTAATATGTCCAAATGTGCAGCATTTACAAACAGTATGAGAACAATAATCAGATGACTTACTATATCAGTTGTCTATCAAACGCAGTACACGATTTCGGACACAGTTCTAGTGTGACCGCACCTTAAGCAGGGTAAGCTAATGAAAGGTTACAGTTGTTCCCCTTAATAACAGGCTGAGATGAGCAATATTTTTAGCTTGTCCATTCTTTGCCTGACATAACATAACGACATGCTTTGTCGTTAAGACAACACATGTGTCTCTAAATTGCTTTTGGAGTCACGCAAGGGGTTAATCCTGACATTTGAGGTTCTGCGGGCATGAAGATTCCCCTTACAGCTGTACCAAACTGAGACGTCCTCAAGGACGCAGAACCGCTCCATTTCAGCATCTCAGCACTAACGTGTTGAACTCTGCATGCCTCTTGTGTCTCTCAAGTTCAGGAACCAATTTCTGTGCAAAGGGGGGGATTGTGGCGTGAGGTGTGGAGGCATGAGGTCGGCTCTGTCTCCATTATTAAGGGCAGATTAACACAGCTGTACACTAGAAGTGAAGCACCCTCTCCTGCCTGCACTAAACATACGGGCCTTCAGGATTACGAGCTGCACTTGACCATTTAAATTACAGCAGCAACCGGCCATACCAGCTGGGGCTCATTAGCATAGCACCCTAGAACACAGAGGGCTGAGAGCGCATCTTAAAAATACCTTACTAGAAAAAAAACAGGAGCAACCTATGAGAACATCAGCCCTTCATGCTACCTCTAGATACCATTAAGCTAGAGATGCAGGTGAGGTGAGAAAAAAATGCATCAAAAGATTATACAGGTTATACAGCAAGTCACTTTAAATACTATTTCCAAAACTGCATTTTGTTTAATATGGCACCTTAATTGATAGACAGGCAAATTATAGGTGGAAATATTTTTAGAGAAAAAAAAAAAAAAAAACTTAAATCTGTTCACATAAATTTAGATTGCTGTTAAATTATTTCATTGCACCACCCTACAAAATGAAGCCCCTTTATGATAATGGATGGCTTGTCATAATTTTCTATATCAATTATGAATATGAAAATATTCAGGACTGACAGCCTCTCACTCAGATTTATTTAATTTGTCCTATTTTCTTATTCAAAATATTTTTCTAACCCTTGGCGATAATGAAACCCACCATAAACAAATACGATTAAATTAATATGAAGACCTTCACAGAAAGGGAGAAAAAAAATGTGTGAGGAAAAAAAAAAAGTACTTTTAACTGAATTATGGCCTAATTTATTCCTCTGATCAAGTGTTTGGGCTAAGAGTTCCCCAGATGCTTAAATGAGACTAGCATCTCCCCAAGGAGAAATACTGTCTGCGTGTGTGTGTGTGTGCGAAAATTTGATTGTATAGGTTTCTGCTTTACACTAATTATGAGGAGAGGAACCATTTCAGCAACTCTTTCCAGTATTTGCTTTTCGGTCTTATTCCCAGAGGACTTGCTCCACGGCGGCATGATCTGCATCAAACTATTCATTAATTTTTTAAAAAATAAATACATAAATAAATAAAACACAATAAAAAAAAAATTGTATCAATTAACTTTAGTCTCCTTTTAGTAATAGGACTGGTTTTTGACTTTTACAGAACAACTTTCCGCAGAAGCTAAAACTTATACCTACCCAAATGCATAAATCCTTCATATAATAAAATTATTACACGATACATATGCATTATATATTTTTCAAATGTAATTGCCCAAACCGTGGATACTTCTGGGCCCTAAACACATGGAAGAAAAAGGGTTCTTGGAGCTATTTGAGTTGGTCTGTAGATGAATTTTGCGGCATGAATGCTGTCGTCTGTACTGAAGAATAAAAAGGTAATGTTCCTGGCGTCAGGTCGTGGCGTGTGTTTTATGGTCTGAGAGTTTGGTTTGGCATCGCACGGAGACCACACTTAAGCTGAGGGGTAGTGCCACCCACTCTTTGTCACACTGGACTTGGTTCAGAACAAACTGGAAAACATAGCCACGTCAGTCCTCCCTGATTAAACGATGGTGTGTGTGTGCGTGTACAGCGGGAGAAAAAAGACAGATTATGTTGATTGAGAAAGAATATAGCGTACAGGAGGACAGGCGAACGAGGAAAACAGAGTGACTGAGGAGATCGATGCACGCCAAAAACTGCTTCTCGCTAAGAGGGTAAAAACATTTGCTCACACACACATATATTCCTAAATCCAAACACACAAACAAGCTGAAACCTTATGTACCGTCATGCTCTGTCTTTGTCATCTCCTCTAGTTTCTTCTGTTTCAGTGTGTCCACCACATCGGCCAGGCTTCCTTTGCGGCGCTCTGGCGTTCCGAAGGCTGAGCTGCTCAGCAGGTCGCCGCGCTCCCTGGCCCCCTCCTCTGGTTTGTGTGGAGAGGTAGAGTTATTCCGGAAGGAGTATAAGGAACATACTTTATCGCTGTCCGATTCCTGCAGGAAAACACAAAAGAGTTTGAGAGGAGATTTTTTTTACTTTACGTCAAAATAGACATTAAATGTCAAAGTTCAACAAAAGATAGCAATATGATCACATTTCAAATGTAATAATTGGTTTGAAAATTAAGAAAATGCTGAAGACATAATATTTATATTAGAGATAGTGAGTTTAGGACACTTTAAATGATTACAGAGTACACTACTTGACAAAAAATGGCAAAATATTCAGTGGTTTTTTATTGGTCTTAACCATTTTAATCACAAATCACTGGCAAGAATTGCACAAATAGTGAAGATAAAGTAACTTAGCATGGGGTAGACTTTCCCAACTTGCAGACAGCTTTTTACAGGAAGAAGAGTCAGTGTTGTTTTAATCCATGTTAAGCAAATGCACTACTTAAAAAGCCATTGCTGTCTTAGAAAAGCATCAAAGACAGAATAAAGTTTTTTCCAGAATATGGGAAGTTGTGTGTGGAGTGATCGCAAATCGCAATGAAACATGAATGAATGGTGATGCTCCAGAGTGGTGCCACCAAAAATTTGGTTTGAAATATAATATTAAATGCATCACTACCACAGTGAAGCATGGTCTTCCTGATGGACTTAAGGCTTATGTTTTGGCAAAGTCCAGATTTTAACCCTATAGTGAATATTGGGTCTCACATTAATCTCAATTGAACTGGGAGACATTTTTCAACTGCTCGTGAACTGGTTGAAGCCATTAAATTTGGATAATGTCTTTGTGGTTAAGACAATTAAAAGCTTAGATTAGAGTAGATGAATGGTGTTGAACAACTCTTTTCTCAACACAAGAGTCACCGCTGTAATTCCTTTGCAAAGGTTTGCACAAGAGTGTGTGTTTGATCCGAGCTCGAGCACACTGTAATTTGTTGGTTCTCGAGCAGGCGACTGTTCCGCACGGAACCCTCCAGGCCATCGTAAATCCTGGCCCGCGTCTCAAACTGCTGTTTTTTTGCGGTCCCACCTGTGTGTGGTTTAGTGGTTAACTGAGCTTCTGTCTGCAGCTGATAGTTCAGTGTTCCCCGAGCGAGAACACAGAGAGGGAAAACAGAGCGAAAGGGAGAAGCGATCTGTCTGTCTGATCCTAACTCCTAAACACTACTGAGTGATTGTAAAAAAATAAAGTGCAAAAGCACATTAGTGAGTTGAGAGGGAGTCCTGAGAGAAGAATTTGGGCATAGTTCCATCGATTGGATTGTTCCATCAATGAGAGGAAAACTGGCAGGTTTGGAGAGCAGGGCACAGACGGGCATTAGGGCAGTGTGATTATGGGGCAGTGGTACACGAATGATATATCACAAATCAGCTGGCACAGACTGAGGGTTCTGCTAACACACACATGAAGTCAAATTTGGAGGTGGCATATAGAATATTGCAATTTTAGGTACAAGACAAGACAAGATTAATTGGAGACTTTTTACATAAAATCAAAAGTCAGCGATACCAATATGAACTCAAATATCTCATCAAATTCTTCAATGACCAAACTGAAATAAAATATATACTCTATTGTCTCAAAAAAATATCTAAATTTATATGAATATGCTATGGTTCATATTTTTTGGGTCAGTGATATTTAAGAAGTGATTTTTTTTATTCTAATCTATCTTGAAAAAAAATGTAACGATTTATTTTCCTTAAAAAAATATTAAGCAGCACAACTGTTTTTGATATTGATAAAAATAAGAAATGTTTCTTGAGCACCAAATCAGCATATTAGAATGATTTCTGAAGCCTCGTGTGACACTGAAGACTGGAGTAATGATGCTGAAAATTCAGCTTTGCCATCTCAGGAATAAATTGCATAAAATATATTAAACAATACATTAAAATAAAAAAATAGTTATTTGAAATTTTGATAATTTAACAATTATGTAATTTTAATAAATCCAATAACACCAATAGCAAAGACAACTCTCTGTCTTTCATTTTATACATTTTATACTTATTTACTGCCAACCTCCAAACCTCTTTATCAGTGCTGGCATTCTTATGTCTATGTTCGTACATCTCTCTCTTTTTACCCTTTTTATATTTTTTTCAATGCCATTCTCTACACTTATATTGACATACCAGATCTAAAGGCATGACTCACTCCACTATACAGTAAACATAATGTCAAATGTACTGTATATAGGAAGAGTTTGTAACATACTTCAAATTACATTTACATTTTACAGACACTTTTATCCAGAGTACAGTGAAGTTTTTATCAGGTGAGAGTTAAAACAAACTACAAACCCCACTGAAGAAGAAAAAACTCGCTCAACAATAGGACGTCCTGCTCATGTGAAGACAAGCGAGTGCAAGTGCACCGCTCACTGCAAATCAAACACAAGCAGCTGCACTTGAAAATCAAATGAGCACAATTAACTTTTCATATGCTTTCCCTCATTATATCAAGAGGAAACGGAGAGATCATCCCATGCATATCCAACCACAGCAGTGCGGTAACAATTCTTTGAAATGTTCTTCTAATTACACCAATCACAAAAGCTCTCTGTAATCCAATTAGGAAACAGCACCACCTGAGCAGTGTGGAAGTCTTGGATTTAAATGTGATGAAAAGGTCAAGACAACCATTATTCTATTCTATTCTATTCTTTAGAAAAATAGAGAGAGATGAGACATTTTATTAGATAGAATTAGATAGATGTTCATATTGAAATCTTTGACGTTTGATATTTTGGCACATCCGAGCATTGTGGAGGTCTCTTCTGAACTTCTACAGGAGAGAGATGCAATTCTTTTCATGTGAAAGATCTGAAAAGTCTCCATTTGACCTCTATCTAATCTCATCGCTTTCTAGGGAGAAATATTTGAGTTAATCAGGGATCTCATTTCTCATTTTTCCTTACAATGGGTGCAAAAGTGCATCCTGTTGTCCCTAACACACATTTGATGTCACACCATATGCCATGGTGTTGCCACCAATGGAATGCAAACTTTAGCTAAAGAAAAAGGCAAAAATTCTCTCATGACAGCTGAATTTTGAAGCAAATTAAAGTGGGGGTTTGCGTCTGGATGCTGCTGGGCCAGGGGAGTCCAGACCCCGGGGGCTGGTCAGAGTCATCCTAGCTCTGGGCAAGCAGCCGCAGCAGAGGGAAGGTTTATAGAGAATTCCCTTTTACAAGCATCGAACAATAAGTGGCTGTCAGTCTCACGTCTGGGCTCTATGCCTCTTGGTCTAGTGAGACCACCACGGAGGAAGGAGGGGCTCCCTCTACTCCCTAAAATTCCCACTCCTCATCCGCTTTCTCATTGTCTCTCTATTTATAGATTCATAAAATCGCTCTGACATGAAATGCAATTCAATACATGGTTCTCCTGCACTTTTACAGTGTGAGGGATCTCCAGGCGCTTGTGGGGGACTTAGACTTCAAAGCCGAGTCCTTGGCAAATCGCAAAGTCTTAAGTCTTCATTCAAGTGTTCCAGAGAGGCCTGCTCCCTTCTAGCTGTGTCCTTGGGTTGAGGATTCCTCTCTGTAGGAGCACAGAGGGTGTGTGTGTGTGTGTGTGTGTTTGTTTTGAGAGAATAGATGTGGGATACATCTGGAGGTTTACTCCATGACATTGATGTTGTGTTAATGTTGTAAGATTGTGTCGTAAACGGAAAATATCCAGAGTTCTAGACGAATAACCTCGACCAGACGGTTGTCACTCTCTGATTCCTGCCAACTATCTTGAATAATGCAATCTTTCATCTACACTTCATTAGAAAATTTTTTAAAAAAAACACAAGTTTCCTGTGTTAGCACACGTAAATGAGCTATGAAACGCTGGCAGTGGCACTCACCATGCGCTGCTGGGCCGACATCAGGCTCTCCCAGTCGGATTCGGGCGGCACGCTGCTGCTGATTGGCTGAAGCTCCTCCAGGGGAGGTTTGTTGTGGAGCAGATTGTGCAGGGGCAGCTGAGGGGCGACTAGCGACTCAGAGTTCTCTTCCTTCTCCCAGGACATGCGCTCCTGACTCAATCCATCCTCACCTCCGTCAGGGGTCGAGGCAAATGGAGAAGTGGCTTGCTTGGAAGACATGATTCTGCTGAGAGAAGAGCAGAGGAAAAGTGTCAGAAAACATATTCAAACTTCCAATGCGACAACATAATTCAGAATAAAGAGTCTCGCAAATGTCAGACAGGAAATGCTGGAGCTCAGCTTTCTTTCTCTATGAGTTGGCAGCCGCTCTGAGCCTCCGTGCCACATCTAACCCGATGATTGAACCGGTATCAGAGCTGGGGAGATCCTATCAATGGCTCTGAGCTTGGTGCGGGGAATACGGCATACACTGGGGTCCCTCTTAATCCTTTGTTTAATGTAAATGGACGTGCTGAGCTACGGCTGGAGAGCTGCCTGAGGCAGGCCCGATCCCCCCGCCCCATGGCTGATTACCGCACTAAGAGGGTTACCATACCATATAGCACGCTCTCATTAAAGCACTAACCCTGCCACCAACCACAAAAAGAGCGGTGACGCTGAGACGCTGACACTTAATGGGAATTTGGTCGTTACATTCATATTGAGTCTATAAATGTGTCATTTCCCTTCATTCTGTAGTAATTGTGCTATTCTGCTTTTGCAATTGTCCTTAGGAATTAATGCAAGTAGGCTGCTGTGGCATAACTTTTAAGATTTACAGCAACTTTCCCATTTCACAAAATCGGGTTGGTAAATGCATTTGCTTCAAACAAAAGTCATCATGTCACATAGCATAAAGTTTCTTTAATCCCACAAACTTGATTTTCAGTGATATATAAAATAAAATAATCAACAGGTCATTTGTGTTTGACAATTCATAAAATCACTCTAGCCTACTACTGCTAAGGGAATGAACTCTTTAACTGCTAATTGAATTAAACGCTTCATTTAAATACTTAATCAAAAGACTCGGATCTAACGAGTTGAGAATTAGCCAGCACACAACTTTTCTGCCAAATAGTAATTTACACTAGACAGACAGCACCCATCATGAACAATGGCATACACACGACTGCTGAACATTATTGTTTTGAGTCTAAAATGTCCAGAGTCTACGAAAGCCTATGGAAGTTGAACGCGCTGCAGCTAGCCACATTAGCATGGACAAAGGGCTTGGGCGTTCTAGGTCAAGGGCTGCAGGTGAGCGAATGTCCTTCCACTGCCCACTGAGACTGCAGAGAGATGAGAGAGAGGCAGGCTGGGTAATGAAGGAAGCCCAAGGTGCCTCCAGAACTCCATCTCCAGCCCTGCCAAGTTTTCCAGCATGTGGCTCATCGTGGGACGAAAACAAATTTGACACCGGGAGAGATTATTTTAACACCAAACTGTGAGTTAATCTGTTCATGTGCGTGCGGCGGCCGTGCACTCCGGCGCATGAGGGATGTGTGGGTTGCAACGGGCTGTCAGGCCCAATTGCTCTCAGGCCCTTTAAAGTATGACTACTTCATTTGAAGATGTGCCATCAATTTGCACACATGGCTGAGCACTTAAGCCTCACACTCTCAATATGAATTGTTTAATACAGTTCGGTAAGTGAGCCTATAAAAAAAAGGCCTACTCAAGCTACTATTGTCTCATGCTAGCTCCAGTAATATTAATTGTGTTATGCTTACCAAAGAAATATATGTAAAAAATAATACATACACATCCGCAAAGTCTTGGATGAGCTCTGTGGAAGGCAACAGAAGTGGACAATGGAAGTCAATGGAAGTTAATCAAGCGGGATACCGCAGCTGTGCAAACAAGCTAAGTCTGTTAGTTAGCGCAGAGAAAGGCACCAGAGACCTAGACCGCTCCGCACCCCTATTTTCCTTAGCGAGACCAAGGCCTCAATTTTAATCAGCCAATAAATTGTTTCCTGTAATTATATCAAACAGAAAGTGATCTCTTAAATTGTGGAGCGCTAATTGAAAATCAAATTTAAGAGCAAAGTTCAGAGCGCCGAACGGTGTGTGTGAAAGGGGGCGCGCAACGGCTAGAGGAAGAGAAAGCGAGAGAGAGAGAGGGAGAGAGATTTTTTATTCATGGATCCAAAGAGCCGGAGCTTCCAGCACAACAACCCCCACCTTCATCTTCAATGGACTGCGAGCGAAACAAAGCACTTCTTTTGTATTACACAGTAAATCAAGTGGTATTATTTTACCTCTAAAATATTCAGTCTCTCAGGCCTTTGCCTCCAGTCTCTAGCCATCAGTCAAACTGCTGATGCATGATAGTGAGAGAGAGAGAGAGAGAGGCTGACTCCATCCTCCTGTAACATGTGTCTACAGCAATTTTACTCGAAAACGCAACAGATCTGAGCCAAGGCCCCGTAACAGTATTTGTCAGTTAGAGTTAATAATTCATTAGGAGAGCTGGGAGGGCAGCTCATCCCGTGAGTGCTGGGGTTCATGAGTTTTGCCCACCATTCCCTCCCAACCATAACACCCCCCAACCCACTCACATCCACCCAGCTAATCTGCACCCACGGCTGAGAATGGAACAATGTGGCCACCATTTAACTGGAATAAAGGCCTGATTCCTAAAAGGGTTTTTCCTTTAAGCGCACTTCAGAATCATTTAATTTCTCCCTACGACCCATAAAACAAAAATCAGTATGTGTGTGTGACAGAGGAGGGGGAAATAGCCCCGACGCCATCGTATTTCATCAAATTAAATGGTGTTTTACGTTGAGAGAAACACCCATGGAACAGTCCTGTGAGCCACCGCAGCGCTTCCCTTTATTCTTATTAATAATTCAATCTGTTTCTTCAGTAAATAAGTCCGATCCGTTGGCCTTTGTGCATATTAAGCAGAGAATATATCAGAGTGGCCTCATATGAATTCCTGTCAGCCCTCTCCCTCTCAGGCCTGATTACACAATAACAATGGACAGCTAACAAACCAAACCAATCAATAAGTATAGGGCAGCACAGCTTGTCTTTTCACAGTCCAGGGCCCCATGTATAGCGGACAATATTGCGATACGTTTATGAGGATTAGGAGTTAAGTTCTCGGCATGAGTTCTCATGTAGCCAGGAATGCTTCGACTCATGAATTGTTGCCGCTGCTAACGTATCATCACGCACTGACCTCTGTTTAATTGGTTGGTGGCATTAGAAGACACCCCGCGCTGGTGTTCCTCAGGGGGTCTCATGACTGGGGGCCATGTGTTTTGGGATATCCGCTTTCGCCCCTCTCAATCGTTAGAATCCCCCCGCTCTTCTGTCTGTCTCTGCCGTGTCTTTCTGTTGCCCTTTTATAGACAATGGTGATAAGTAACTCCTGAGCTATGGTGTCAGTGCTGCCCCCTTCCCCTCGGACATCCCACACCCCCTCAAAAACCACAGCCCTTAGCAGACCCCGTAAATCACCAGCCACTCCTGAAAGGAAATATTAGAAGGCCGCTTTTCGCTCCACCACCACCACCCAGACCTATATGAAGAGAAATAATCAAATAAAAGGGGGTAAAACAAGCGGGCCATTGTTGAAGGAACTAATGATTGGCGAGCAGAAAAATGGCAAAAGCTGCTTTATGACAGGGCTTCAAGTTTCCACGGGTAACGACACACACACACTCACACGTGTGTAGGTTCATGCTTGAGCATACGCACATACGCTGTCAAAACATAGGCTAAAAAGAAATGTAAAGGTAGGGTGAAGAAAGTTACAGGAATGTAAAATGGTGCCTTTAAAAAAAGCGTTACTTACAAAAGGCTAAACAGAAATCTAAAACAGAACACTCCAATGCAGTTATTCAAAGTGTATTAGGAAGTGTTTGCATCTGAAAGGAAATTGTGTAGTATTCCTGCAGTGAGGATTATAATAATACGCTTTTATGATAATTGTGTTTGTATCTTGAGTGTAAACAGTGAGTAGTAAATGATCATCAGACAACACCAACAAAACAAGGAAAAAGAAGAAAAAAACAAACAAATTTGCACTGACAAAACAATTTCTGAGTAATACTGATTTACGTTTTTTTTTTTTTTTTTTAACAACAGCAGCTGCTGCAGCCATAAAGACCGGTGAGTGTTCAATTACTAAGTCATCGATACTTAGTTACTTAGCATACATAAAATGAAGATAATACTCTCGCTCATTGATACTAAAAATGACTGCAGAGATTTCTGTCACGAATACGCACACATGAACTGGTTTCCCACAGGGAGTGAGAAGAGGAGTGGGAGACATACAGTGGCATGAGTTTGCATATGTGACTTTGTGTGAGAGTCTCTCTGACAGCAGATCACACAGGTGACAGAACAGACTCTCCAGGCCCTCACCTCCTATAATCATCCCTCTGTCACCTGTGAAACCTGGGCTGGAAAATTATCATCCCTGCTGTAGCTGTTTAGCACCTTCAAATTATCACCTTCCATTGTACCTGAGCAGTCTACCGATCCATGAACAATCATCAGGACAGAAAGTGCAACTGAGTAGAAATATCAATAGAAAACAAGTATTTATTCTTAATCTATTTTAATATATCCTCTTATGGCATTATTTATTGATTTATAAGTAACTACATAAATATAAGTATCATTTAGAATTATTATACAGACGACAATTTTTTTTCTAGCGGAAAGAAGGCTTTTAGTGATTTTACTTCATGAAAGTTGCACTAATACATATTTTTTTAACTTTAATAAAACTAATTTTATTAATTTAATTAAAATTAATTTAATTATTTTTTTAACTTTTATTTTCTATTGTGTGGTAACTGTTTTATAAAAGCAATAAGGTACTCTAGGAAAGTGCTGTATCGTGAATAAGTAACAGCTGAAGCGGACGCGAACCGCCTGTCATACCTTATTGCTTACACACACACACACACACACACACACACATATATATATATATACATTATATTATTTAATAATTATTTTAATAATTTAATAATTATTTAATAAACAAAGTTAATAATTACATAAAATATAGTGAAACTAAGATGCCTCTTATAATCTGAGAAATACCTTAAATTTTAAAAGCTGACTTTTTTTTATGTACCCCATAAATGTTAATCTTACAACAAGTCAACTATGACAGCTCCTTCACCACACATCACTCATTCCTTTACTGTATTACACTGTTGTTCCAAATCTAATCTTAAAATAAAACACAAGTAAGTCTTTTCTAAAAGTGCACTCTGTATATTAAGCATAGACTGACTAGAATTGTGAGGAAAATCATTAGCTCAAGCACCCTGCCACTGTCCTCACTGTGAAAGTGAGATATGTGTGTGAATGAGCGTGCATCAGGTGTGTACACTCACATACTGTCTCCCTCAGCCTGTTTGGCCGCTCCTTTCCTTCTCTGTTCTTCACACACCACTTCAGAGCTGGATGGCATAACACTTCCTCAAATTCTGGCACACACAAACACACACAAAAACACTCGAGCACAGACAGGCCGTTCGTCCCCGTCCCAGCCACGGCACGTCTTGTCAGAACACATCCGACGGCACGCTGAACGGAGTACGCTCTCGCACATGAACGGAGCAACCGGCAGAGCAGCTGTTAAGCTCCTCCGCTCACACACACACACACACACAATCTCACTCGCACGCGTGTCTCTTTCAGTCCCTGCACGGCCGGAGACGATTCCGAGACACAAGAAAAGCAGCTCGCCGTCTTTTCTGTCTCTCTTCGTCCCTCGCTAGGGGCCTTACGGGGCGGCAGTTCCCAAAGTGCCTAGTGTCAGTGCTGCAGTTAAGCAAACTTTACAGCCACTGAAGCCATCAAGCAACACAGCCTATTTGCGGAGCAACAGTGGAGCTTTGTGGTTTCCCTCACAGTTGACAGTAAGTTATGAGCCCTTTGTGAGTGCAGGGGAAGGAAAGCAGAGATCGGAATTTGGCAGGAAAATATAATACAGAATTCTCCTGTCTGTTGAACCTGTTTTTTCTTTCATTTTTTCAGTTTGTCTCTCTCTCTCTTACTCTCTCTGTCCCTCTCGTTTTTTTTGTGTGGAAACAATCAAGCATTGTTGGGGGAAAGAAAAGCAACTCTGACAGATGAAATATAGTGTGGGCCCCTTTTTGGAAAAACAGTAAACAAAGCACCATTCAAGGACAGGTCCTCTCTGTCATTTATAAAGATACTTTTCTTCAGAGTGGCCGACTTTATAGCAAAGGAGTCAACAAACCATGTGTAAAATCTCCAACCGTCCACTGTGACAAGGACAGAAGACAGAGGCCGAATAAAGTGATAATACTAAAGATAGACAGAGGATATATTGCTCTGTTGCACAATAAACTAATTAAACAAGATGGAGGGTGATAGACTGAGGAAAAAAGGGGGCAAAACGGGGAATAGACAAAAGTGACTAGCCAAAAAAAACTTTTTTCCAGACTAGCCAAAAACGGGGACAATGGCTAATTATGAGGGAGTAATTTTGCCGCCAGAGGACTGGGGAGAATGAATGGACGCATGAAAGGATGAGGGCTATTCAAGCCCATGTCAGCGAGAACTGTATGCCTACAGTCTTCAGCCTGGAGCGCATGAGGTCATCATTGGCACCACGTGCCCAGAAAAACTTGGGCTGGTACAACTGCCGTTTGGACATCTGGAATGCCGGCACACAGTGCCCTGCTTTTTCCAGCCACTGTCCCCCTAATTCCTTTCTTTTCCAAAAATAGGATTTTTATTTTTTTTGCACCAGTCGCTAGTCAACCAAATTGGAAAATTTGCAGCAGCTAATGAAAAGAATAGCAGTTTTGTTCCCTTTCATTCTCATCCCATGAATGGGATTTCTGTGGGGCAAGAAAACTAAAGAAATTACCTTTGATGCTGTACTATTCAGGGTGGACAACAGCTCGTTAATTATCGCTAGTCCCATCCTTAACTCTTCCGCAAGATTTTAATTTTTTTTAATTTTTTTTTTATTTGTGACTTAAAGGGATACTCCACTTTTTTTGGAAATAGGCTTATTTTACCACTCCCCCAGAGTTAAACAGTTGAGTTTTACCGTTTTCGAATCCATTCAGTCGATTTTCTGATTTTTAGAAGAATATCAGTAACCAGACAGTTTCTGGTCTCATTGACTTCCATAGTAGGAAAAAAATATACTATGGAAGTCAATAAGACCAGAAACTGTCTGTTTACTGATATTCTTCTAAATATCATAAAATCGGCTGAATACGTTCGAAAACGGTACAACCCAATATATATATATATATATATATATATAGGGAGTGCCGGAAGGAGATGCCAATTCATGTAAAACGTCATTTGGAAAACCAAAACAGTGGCAGATTGTTCGCCCCACCCAGATGAGGCCATGAAAAAAACGACTGATGAATCGCAAGGGTCAGCCAGGACACATCGTGAAGATCTATGATTAAGCCTTATTATGTTGGGGCAAGTGACATTGATTGCCGATTTAAACCTCTGAATCTAATTCATTCGCCCCTGTTCAAATGAAAGCATGGGCAACAGTGTGTGGCCACGGTGACAGGTCGGACGAAGGCGGCTGAATAAAAACCCCTGCTAAACGAACGGTTGGCACTCATGTCTGTCGGGAGGTGGTTAGAAGTTCCCAACATGACTGACAGCCGATACAAAAAATAGAGAGAGAGAGAAACAGAGTGAGAGAGAGAGAGTCCGTCCATCGATCTGTGTAATTGCCATGAAAATCTGAGTCAAAGAGTACATGAAGGGTTGATGTTTTAGCAATGCTAAGATGGAGCGGCACTGGGAAAAAGCGGTAAAGTGAATACGAAACATGCTGCACCACGGACTAATAAAACCGGGAGCTGACAAGCATGGTTGAACAGAAAAATGTGCAGTAGATTTGTACCCAGGCCAGAAAGCAGGCACATTACTGGATTAGCCGCTGACTGATACAGAAAATGTCTCACCCGTCTACTATTAAACCGTAAGTCTGACCAACTCACACCCGCCCGTTACAGATGAAACAGCACAGTAGTGTCTTAAAAATGTTCTCAACAAGCTGGAAAAATATCTGACTGGAGACAAGCTCAAAAAAAAAAAAACCTCTACGGTCTGTGACGGGCTTCCTCAGCAAGTTGTAAGTAGCATTACATCGGTCTGCTCCATTCTGTAACACGATCCGTGCAGCAGCCGCAAGCAGTTAGAACTTAAGTGTAGTCATGTTGACTAACACCTTCGGCTCTCTTTCTTTCCTTCTTTTCCACCATGCTCTCCTTTTCCTGGCAGGAGAAGACACATGCATCATGACAGGCTTTCAGAATGAAATCATTAACTAAATTGCTTTCTTTTAAAAAACCACAAGTGTGTGACGGGGTGGGTTGTATCTGTCTCTGGCTGCTGTCCACCGCTTTTGGGTTCGGGCTCGGCCTCTGTTGTGGTTCACGTCGCCACAGCCATCCCACTCTGTGCGGCAGGAACCGGGCTCTGTGATTCGCCGGAGCCCCGTATGAAATAATCGAGTAATCTCAACCCCACTCCCCGAATTCACAAGCCCTGCCTGCCAGCAGCACAAAGAGGCCTTTTGTGCTCCAGAATGTGTGTGTGTGTTCTCAATACTGACTGTATGGATCATCATCCCTGAATCAATCAAAAACATATTAAACAAATACACATTTTGAGCTAGGCCATTCAGCAGAGTTTGTGGGAAGAGTGAGTGAGCAAATTAACACCACTTCCGTTTGTCATCGAAGCAAAGAGCAACCCGGATCGCTAACGTATTTGTGAACGAGAGTGTGGTGGTGTATGATGCGCTTTTCAGTCAGAAAAAGGCTGAGAGAAAGAGAAAATTGAAAGCAAACTATAAAACAAAAGAAAATGTCCATGTCCCCTCTGACAGCAAGGAGGTGAATGACCCAGGACAAAAAAAAAAGAGAGAGAGACTGTAAGATCTACTCTTTGGTAACATTGTATCTGGCACAGAAAGACTTGAATAAGCAAAGCAAACAGAGGGAAAGTAAATAGGTAGCGAAGGCCAGACAAATATTTGATAAGCGGATAGGTATTGTGGCAGTGTGGGACATGTGGCACAGGTCTTCCCTCCCCTCCTCCTCCCCTTTATCCCTCTCAGTTTCTGCGTGCGAGGCAGCAGATGTGTCTTTCACAGCCCGCGGAGTGTGCAACCAATCGGCAAACAATAGCTAGCCACTGACAAAGGTCATCTTTCGCAATCCGCGCGTTATCAGAGACTAAAAAAACAGCGAGCACGCAGCTAGTCTGTGCTCAACGCACGTCGCATGGCACCCTGACTGTGTCTGTGTGTGTGTTTTAACCCCTCACTACAATGCTACTTGATCCTTCTTAATAAGCCAATTACACAAGTTTAAGCCACCTCTTTGACCTCGAGTTAAGCTAACAGTTGGTGTAAACAAGTGAAATCCTATTACCCTAATAATATACATGGAACCAGGCGGCAACGGCCAGCAGTTCAGGCGCTAAAGCCTCTTGGAGTTTTAACTACAACGAGTTTGGTCCACCGGAGCAACAGTGGACATGAGCTTTGTGCTCCCAAAAAGGGTCATAAGTTAATCCGCAGCGGATATTAGAGCACTTGTCAGAATGGATGTGCTAATTTAGCTAACCTGTATTAAGTCTCTCCACTTAGACGACTAAAAACAAACACGTCCTCTGTCATTACATTAATACACATTTAAGACTGGAAACTCCTGAAACGAACACTAATTAGAGCTTAAATAGAGCCCATAATTCAGCAGTTTCAAAGAAACAGAGAGAGTGCCTTTTATCCCACTAGAGCTGAGGCTAACAATTTAGCATTGTGTTGATGAGCTTGTTTAATTTACTGTGGCGGTACTTAACTTTCTAACTGTTCCTCTTATGATCAGAGAGGAAAAACTAACTTGGGGATTTATTTTTTATGAATCCATCGTCTAAGTGTTTTCTCTTGAAATCAAGAGCTGCCTTATTCATAAAAGTGCTGCATTTTAAAGGCGGCAAACAACACATTTTATGCATGCAGCGATATGAAAGCATAATGCCGGCAGATGCTCCTTCTGTTTTGTTCTGATGTCACCTCCACAGAAAATGGAGACAGTTTTAGAGTAAATATTTAACGGTGGGCCATTTAGCTACATACAATTTAAGCTTGCAGGGAGTGCGTGTGTACTTCCCAACAGGAGTCATTTCTGGGGAGTACTGTATAGATGGCTCACACACTGTATTCTTACATTTTAATGTGAGTGCTGGTTTAGCTTATTTTACTATAATGTTGTAGTGCTAGAGGCATACATGTATTCAAAGCACCATAACTGCTTCTAGATGTAACCACTCCTGCGGCTGTTTTCAGTAATTAAAAAAATAAAACAGTTGATAAAAAGAGTTTTGGGTTGCAGCAAATCAATATATAAGAATGATTTCTGAAGGATCATGTGACACTTGATGACAGTAGACTGGACTAAAGACAGCTTAAAAATCAGTTTTGCCATTACAGAAATAAATGATATTTTAAAATATTAAAACATAAAATGGATATTTTATATTGTAATTATATTTTACAATATTACTGTGTATTTTTGATCAAACTTAACAATAGTAAGAACCAAATCAACATTGTGGGGTTGTTATTCACTGAAACTCTTCATGAATTTAAAAACTGTTATAAAAAAGCAGCGTGAACATACTTTAAAACGTCTTCTTTTGTGTTTCACAGAAAAAAAGAAAATCATGCAGGTTTAGAGCTAAATGAGAGCTGGTTCTTGGCTTAAGGGGGGGAAAAAAGGTCGAAAAAAAGTTTGTGACTGACAGGTTAGGTAATTTAATGCTACCACTTCACTGGGCCGTCTACTTTTAACACTGAGTATCTCTTGGCCAGTTAGTGAGCATCTGTCTGTCTCTGAGTCTCTGTGTAATTTGGTATGTCACATTATGAGCTCAGGAGTCAAGTGTACATTACAGCACTCTGTAGCACCCTTGCTATTAAACTGTTGGGAGAGCAGCTTGACATGTGCAGGGCGAGAGGAGGTGTGTTTGTGTGTGTGAGTGAT